GAAGAAATAGTAGAAATAAATAAATAAATAGTAAAGTTGGCATGCATGTAGAGTTAGTTTAAAGTATAAGTTTTTAGACATCGTTTAGAGAAAATCAACATCTTTTTAAAAAACGTGACAAAAGAGGGTTCAAATAAAAAAAAATCAATGTGTATCTGCACGAACATTCACAATGAATTTGTAATAGTATATTCATCATGAAATAATTTGCTACACATGTTATATAAAGAAAGTACCTATATAATAGGCTGGAAATCTCTGTTCGTACAGATTTACAACATTTCCGTGTAAGTGTATACAACCTTACATATACTCCCTGCAACAATATCTTCTTCATCCGTAATAGTAGATTATATTATCAGGAGTTCTTCTCTAATTAAAATTTGAGGCCTAAAGACAAAGAAAATGGTTTTTCTTCCTCTGTTTTTGTGACCTTGCTACAAACATCAATCATACAACGTAAGTATGTTTTGCTAAAATCTCAATTCTCATGAAAGTATCTAACTTTAATTGTTTATAAAATATAAAAGACGTAGCACAGATGATTGAAAAAATATGCGATATTAATGAAATTTTAAATGTATCATAAAACAAAATTATGAGAAAAAACACCTCAAAAAAGTAGCTGCAGAACTGCAAATCTCTGCTTGAGAAATTTTGGACAGATAAAGCAGAAAGCTTCAGATTCATGCGTCGTTAAAACCATCAATTTACGCTGCCGCTTTTTTTGTCGCCCACTTTAGGTATCATATATTGTTTTAATGCTTTTCCCAGGTTTCAAAATGGTATCCGACTATTAACCATACATTTAATCCCTATTCCTGATATTTATTTTACCTTTCTATGGTTTCAAATGCCGTTTGTAGTTACAGACGTCGAAATGGGAATAATTAAAACCGACATTCCAAAGGGCCATTGAAAGGTAAACACAGCATCAATAGAAGGAATTAAATATACCACTAATGATACCATACTAAAGGCGAGGAAAAGCATTAAGTACAAGAAAAATACATACAGTGAGCGAGAATAAAGCGGCGGCGTAAATCGAAAGTTTTTACAACGCTTGGATCTGTAGCTTTCTACTTTATCTGTCCGAATTTTCTCAAGCAGAGAGCTACAGTCCTGCAGCTACTTTAAAAGACATCTAATAAAAACTTTAATTGGAAGGACTTAATTTAAAATGCACTGAGCTGACAAAACCACTCAACAATGATGGAAATGTAAATGTTTTATCGAATTTCTTACTTTTGAGTGACAATAATAAAAGCATTTATTGTTTGCTGTTAGATTGTGAGTATATTATTTATAGTAAGAACTGCAATTGTGATAATTTCAGAAACACATTCTAAATTTCTATCTTTTGATTCACAGAGGTCTACTCAAATCCTGCCATAGGATTTTCAGTACAACTTTCAAGAGATGCTTTCTTGGGAGATGGGCAAGCGATCAAGTACGACAAAATAATTACTAATTACGGAAACAGTTACAACAAATGGACTGGACACTTTGTTGCTCCAAAGAAAGGATTATACTTGTTTTCTTGTTCCATAATGGCAGACCACACTGGACACATTCACGTTCAAATAGTAAAGAATGGTACTAAAATATCCACGATTTATTCCAACCTTTCTTCCTATGACCAAAGCTCACAGACAGTTGTGTTGGCCTTACGGAGAGGGGATAGCGTCTGGACAAGACAGTCATTATTTGGTAGACGTCTGCATGACCACTTGGGCTACAATATGTTTACTGGCATCCTGATATCAAGGAATATTTTAAAAAGATCCTTGCAAGCAGTGATCTATTACTGTATCAAAAAGCTTGTTTTTAAGGTTAAACTAATAAAGATATTTTCCAAATGTAACAATAACTTCAATGAATTTCAATATTCGTTGTTTGCTACAATTATCATGAACGTATTTGTTGAATTTATTAGAATGCATTTCACTAGCTATATGGTTTGATTTTACAGGTTGAGGGCACACGGTAA